TCGACTTCATGGCCAACACTTGCCGCTGGGTTGGCTGCGACTTTTGCCTCCACTGGTGCCACACCGACTGTGGGATCCGACTGTCGTATATCAAGCCCGGGAGTGCTCAAGGTGGAAAGCAGTCGGAGATGCAGTTCGTGTGCGTGGCTTGCGGCCATGCCTCGGACTTGTTTGGCTTCGTCCGGGAGGTGTTTACGACGTACGCCAAGGATTGGAGCGCCGAGACTCTGCGGCAGGAGCTCGACTGTATCCAGAGGATATTCCGGCGCAGCCAGGACTCTAGAGGGAAACAGCTGTGCTGGATTGCCGAGAAAATGCTGGGCAAGGTGGAGGGATGCGGTGACACTTCCGAGTTATGCGAGACGATCGTCCGGTTCTTCCAAGGTAAAAATCTTGTTTTTCCTAATTTTCGTTAACGAAAACGCTGTCCTGCAGAGGGGAAGATCGATTTGGAGACGGCCAAAGTGCAGCAGCAGCAGCAGCAGCAGCATGGAGGTGGAGAAGTTCCTGCGGGTGCGGTTGCAGTTCGAAGCGGCAGCTACGCGAATGCTGCGGAGGAAATGGTGGCGAAGAGCAAGAGTGGTTCTGGGAACGGCAACTTGCAGATTCTCGACCGGGAGCTCGAGGCCAAGAGGAACGAGATTGCCGAGATGCAGTACAGCCGGGCGAGGAAGCGGAGCGAGATCGAGGAGATGGAGAGCGCCATCCACATAAAGCAGGCCGAGGCCAAGATGTTCCAGCTGCGAGCCGACGAGGCCCGGCTCGAGGCGGAGAGGCTGCGGAAGATCGTGCTGGCCAAGAGCGAGAAGATGGAGGAGGAGTACGTCGCCAAGGGGTACAAGCTCCACGTTAACAACGCGGTGGAGAAGAGGAAGCGGTGCTTTGTGGAGTACCAGATGCTGGAGAAGGGGCTCCAGGACTTCAACTCGATGAAGAGCAAGCTGGTGACGGACGTGCACGACGTGCTCATGAAGATGGACGTGATGAAACGCAACAAGATGCTGTGAGTGGGGGTCGAGCTTTTCCGATAAGAGAGAGAGAAGAAAGATCGCAAGAGCTCTCTGGAGGAAAGAACACACACAGGAAGAAGCGAAAACTTCGTCACAACTGGTAAATCTTAGCTCATTTTTGTTAAACTTCCGAAAGCTTGCTAGATCAAGTTTGGGTGTGGACGTTCTTAGAGAGCTCCGAGAAGGAGGTCCTTGTTATATGGCCGGACTACTCTGTGAATAAGAACCCAACGCTTGCTTGTGAAAAGAATCGAAGATCCCTATGGATTGTTTGATCATGCCCAAGAACAAGGAGTATGGAACCATCCTCGCGAAGTACTCGATCCACGGTCCGATCCAAGGCCCCGCGCGCTAGATCGAAGGCGCCGCACCGCTAGTACATGCTGACCAGCGGGAATTCGATGTGGAATCGGGGGCGAGAGATCGAGATCAGGAGGCGTGTTCTTGGCATCGCTGGAAGAGGGCAGGCGACTGGTAGCGAGATTCCCAGCGATCGCGAGCGATGTGATGCGCTCTTGCTGGGTCCTCGCGCGTAATGCCAGCGATCTAAAAGCGCTCGCTCCTGGATGGAATCCCTCCAGATAGAACAGTCTCGCATTTGCCCCGTCAGGGCATTTGCTGGGATAGACTGCGAGAGGGCATTCGATCAAAGATCTCTTTGGCCTCGGCGTCTGACGAGTCGCGCGGTCTGGCTGATCGAGAAGACCATGGGATGGGATGATTTCTGGACGAGAGAGTGGAGCTTCTTGGTTGAGTTTGGCTCTGGCAAAAGCTTAAGAGATTCTAGGCTGGGTTGGAGCCTGCCTTGTTCTAGAGCGCTTGCAAGCTTATCACTGTGACTACCAGTGACAAGAACGATGGCGATCTTTTAGAAAAACTATCCTGGAAGAACTAGAGGCATGAAAGACCATCACATTGTCAAAAGAAAAGCCCAGAACCGGGATGAAAATGAAGTACCAGCAACAACCACCACCGTGGCGAGAAAACTCAATAGGAGCTCGTCTGGTTCTTAGTTGTGAACACCATTTCATCAACAGAGAAGCTTTTCTTCTGCAAAAAAACAGGATCAAAATCAGAAAGTGAGAAGAAAAAATCTTCTTTCCTACCTGTTTGCAGCAGCCGCCCTGGCAATCCGAGTACTTGCTCGGACAACACATGTACTGCGAGCACTTGGATCCGATAGCCGGTTCTATGCAGCAGCAAGTCATTGCCGAGGGACAACTCTGGCTGCCACCGCAAGGAGGTGGCTTGCTCCCTGGAGCTGCTCCAGTCGGATAGGATGGGAACGCATTGATGTTGAGAATACCATATGGTTCTCCTCCCTGTCTCTTGATACGGATGTATCCGCCTTCGCCCCAGCCATAGCCCCACGAGTTTTTCGCGATCCAGTAGGGAACACCGTTGAGAGTATCATATCCAACAACGAGGAGTGATGTAGTGGTGACCGCGTCCGCGAAAGGTCCAGTGTAGATTCCCTGTCGCGAGGGAAAGATGTCAGGAAAATAAAGGATAGCTGCAATTCACTTACGCTGCGGTAATTGATGAACTGCGGCGTTGTTCCGTCGACTATCACCGCGACAGGCTGCTTTGCAACAGCATTAAGCAGTTCTGTATCGTCACTTGACGAGTAGATCCTCTCCACGCCAGAAATGGTAACCAAAGAAGATGGCTACCAAAATCAAAGATTCAAGAGTTCAGTAAAGAAACCAAATGTATAGAACAAGAAGAAAGAACTCACGAGTGGTTTGCATTGTCCAATTGTCCCAGTGTATGGATAAAGTTTTTCAGTCGTCAAGCCATTCTCCGCAACGTAATCCAGAGCGAAAACGGGATCGAGAGTGGTGCATTTGTTTGCCTCGTCAACACAATCCAGGAGCTGCTGAGCGGAAAGGTCCTGCAGCCTATTGCCGTCGATTGCGAGCCTCCCCTCCACGGCTCCAGTTGCTGCATACGTCCAGCTAGCTCCTGAAAATGCTCAAACCCGAAGTGTCAGAAAAGAGAGAAGCAAGGGATGTTTTTTCTTGCCTTTGCAGCTGCTGCCAATGTCCTTCACGCGAGCAACAACAGCTCCCTTTCGCCTCCAGTCAATGGACGCTGGTGCAGCCACGCTGGAGACCTCCTCCTTGACGGAGCCCCACTTCTTCATCAGATCCTTGACGTCAACACGAGGGAGCCGAGCTTCCATTTCTTCCTGGCTCTGGTCCGAGAACTGATTGAGACCGAGCTGGTAAGAATGCTGCTGGCTGTTGTGAGCCTGGATCTGGAACAGCTTCTCCTTGAACACTTCCCGCCTGAGCAGCCTCTCATCTTCAGTGCCATACCTCTTCCCGTGCTCTTCGCACCACGCATCAAACAATGCAGTGATGCGGTCTTCCGACTCAAGATCGGCCGGCGAGAAATCCAAATGACCACCGTGCGCTGCCGCAAGACCAAATGCCACTACCAGTGAAACGAAAACAACAAGCGACCGGAGGCTCGCCATCTCTGCCTATCCGCTCTTGCGGGCCTCCTCCAGTTAACCGTCCTTTATATCCACAATCTCACCACCACGAGGAAAACGTGTCGTCGCACGAGGAAAACCAGTCGACGAAAAAGCTTCATGCCAGTGTCCTAGTCCCTCTTATATCGGTGGCATCCGCAAGTGTATGTCTCCGTTCTCGCACGTCGTGTCCCCAGTCCACTCACTCTGCTCTCCCTTGTAATCCGAATCTACGACCCCGAAAACACCACTGTGAGCTCCCCCCAGTGGCTCGTCCTCAAAGTGGTCGAAGAAGGCCCTCCCAGACCAAGGCCAATCGTCGTTCCACTTCCCTCTCATGGCTGTTGCTCGCCACTCCTGGTCAGCGATCATCTCTGGAGTGAGCCCCCAGTTCTCAAGCTCCTGCCTGCTGTGGTGCACGGCTAAACTGTACTCCCCTCCACTCCCGAGCTGCATCACCCTGATCTCGCAGTTCTGTGGATTGTTGAGCAGCTCGAATTGCTCCGTCGTCCACTTGAACCACCGCATGAGAAACACTCGCATCGTCAGCCCGTGCGAGACGATGATGAGGTTCAAGTCGGATGACTTTGAGCGGTTTAGCCTGTTCATGTCGATGTCTCGCCATAGAGATTCGAGAAAGCCTGCCGCAAAGACGAAGAACACTACGTAAGAAAGACAAAGAACACACACAAAAAAAATAAAGCGAGGAAACGTACTTGTGACTCGATCAAACACATCAGCTGCCGATTCCCCCTCTGGAAATCGATAGAAAAATCGCCCAAATCTATCCCGAGTCTCCTTCACCACTTTCATCACCTCCATGCACTGGAAGTTCCCGAAGTCCTGCTCGCGGATCCGTGGCTCCTCCCTCACGCCCAGGATGCGCTCCTTCTCAAACGCCCGCCCGATGCCGCGCAGCGTGCAGCGCGTCCGCTTGTACGGCGAAACGTAGAAATACACCTTCCAGTCGTCGCGCACGTCGCGCTCGATGATCCTGCGTACCTCTTGCCCGCACGCGATTGCCTGCTGGAATCCGCCCTCGGTGAGATGGATCTTGTAGTCCGCCACGGACGAGTACTTGGATTCGTCCACATTCCCCTCGCTCTGGCCGTGGCGCACCAGGATTATCCGCGTCGGCCGCCGCGCCCTGCTCTCCTCGGCCATCATCCGCGCGAATCGCGATCGATCGTAAACCCTAAACCTCTTCTTGCAAGAACCCTGATCGCAATGCCCGCCACCGCCGATCGCGAAACAAGCGCTGGAATGCCGCGGTGGGATTGGCGGCGACGCCGCTACTTATACGCAATTCCAGCCTCCAATCTCACATCCTTCCCACCCACATTCGCGCCGTGGTCGCCCATCGCCCACCTTTGACACGAACAAATAAGCGATCGTGATGCCACGATCTCGCTGACGTGGTCGGCCAGCCGGGAGTGGCCTGTCGCTGACGTGTATCCCCGCGTAGTGACGTGTTCATGTTTGCTGACGTGTTTTCACAATAGTTGCCAGCGTGTCAAACTTTGGGTTTATTGAAAGAATTTCTTTGGTTTATATACACAGTTCTTCTTTGTCCTAGCTATAGAGCTCCAATTCGATTCTTCTTGTTTCAAGAGCTCCTCTCCCAGCTCACGATCCCATCGCCCTCTCGCCCAAAAAACTCCTGCATTGCTCCATTCGTGGACGCCAGCTCCATCTCCCCGGCGATCCATCCCTCCTCCCCCTGGCTCAGCGCCCTCGACAGCCTCAAGATCTCCTTCTCCGTCTCCTCCCTGGCGAATCCTCCGCCATCCTTGGAGCTAAACTTCTCAAACTCGTCGCCGCCACCACCACCACCACCGCTACTCGCTTCCAAAAACTCGGTCGTCGTCCCCAAAACTTCGCCTTGTTGTTCTTGCTCTTCTTTCTCTTCTTCTTCTTCCTCCTCATCCTCCTCCTCCAGCTCCTCCTCCTCCTCTTCTTCCTCCTCCTCCCGTACTCCTCCAGCCACCGCCTCCACGACCTCCTCCTCGTCTGTGTACTCCGACTCCCAGTCCTCCTCCTCGGGCGGCGGCGGGAGATCGCTCTCGTCGTCGTCCGAGTCCACATTCTCTCGATCAAACCGGTTCTGGAGCGCGCGCCGCCGGAGCACAAACACGTTGAAGTAGTAGCTCACCAGCTCGCGCCGCCGCCGCGATGGGAACGCGTAGCGCAGTGGCGTCCAGAAGTTCCTGCGCTGCGACGCCGGGTTGAGCCTCACCACCTCCCCGAAGATCTTCTCCTCCTGCTCCGTCCACCTCCGCGACACACACTCCCCCATCTCCTCCAGCCCGAGCTTGACGTAAACCAGCGCTCCCACCTCTCTCGCCACCTTTCCCCGGCTCTCGTCTACGTGCCGCCTCGCGCACTCCACCGAGCCCCGATCTTCGCAGCCACACTCCTGGCTTCTACCCTTCCCTACGCGCTCGCTGTCGTCGCAAGAGCTCTGGATTTCTTCCGGAGAACCCGGCGGCCAGACCCTCTCGCCGATCCAGGCTTCCTCCTCCTCGTCCACCTCCTTGGGCTTGTCCGGATCCCAGTGGGGAACCTCGGCCTGGTAGTCGGGGCCGATTGGAACTCCTTTGATCCTCGGCAGGAGGCCCTCCAAGGCGGCCTGGAAGAAGCGCGAGGGAGCCGGGGAGCTGATGCTGGATTCCTGAACCGGGAAGCACAGCTCCAGGCTCGAGATCTCCTGGGACGAGCTGTTGTCCCGGGTTGGCTCCGAGGAGCCTTTGAGGCACGCTTCCGTGCTCGAGTCGTCGAAGCGGACCTGGAAGAACTTGGAAGACAAAGTTTGAGACAAGAGAATCGAAGATGGAAAGAAAGATTGGAGTACCTTGTGGTTGTGGTGGTGGTGGTGGTGCTGGAAGTTGTCCGATGGATCAATGTCCACTACCTCGTCCTCGGCTCCCCCGGACTCTAGAACAAACTCGTCCTCGCTCTTGCGCGTCAAAGCCTCGTCTTGGTGCTTCAAACACTTTGCGGGCGGGAAGGAAACACAGTGCTCGAGCGATCGCTTGTGTTGTCCTATCATCGCGAACGAGACTGTCGAAAGAAAATAATCGATTCCATCAAACATCCCCAGGAGTACAATCAAAATTCGCTAAATTGCCTCATACAAAAATTATCAAAGAAAAACAACTTGCAAGAAAAAAGGAGTTAAGGAAAAAAAAATTATCTAGGGTTAGGGCTCGACAGGGAAAAACACCAAACGCACCTTTCGATCTCGAGGATTGTCACAGATCTAGTCCCCAAGAAATCCTCCAGGAACAAGATCGATCCGGAGAGAAATCAATCTAATCGAAAATTCTCGCCACGAGAAAAAAAAGCCCCAAAATTCTTCGCTACCCTAAAAACCCTAGCTGCAAGGAGCGAGCGCGATCCACAGCCTATAGCCGCGCCGTGGCCATGCCAATCCAATCCAGTCCCAACCCAAATGGATCCCCACTCCAAAACCCAAGTGGGTGTCTAGGCGAAGCTTTTGGCTATGGCGGACGGTACCACACAAAGCCCGGGGGAGAGAGACGGGTCCCTTTGAACCACTTAAACCAGGTAGCGCCGGAATATTCCATGCGGCGGAAGGAATATTCTGGCCCCACAAAGACACGTCACTGCCCCTTTTCTCTAAAAACCCACCAAAACTATTTGACCTTTTAGCCGACCGCCGAGACCTTCTCCGAGAAATGGCTGAGCGCGTCCATTCCGGGAGGGATGAAGACGACGTCGCCCCAGCCGGAGCCATCGTCGCTTGACTGTCACAGACACGAGATTTTTAAGAGCTGGAAGAAGTGGAAGAACTGGGAGAACTTCGCAATTGGAAGAGAAGAGCTTACCTCCAAGCGCTGCAAAACGTCCTCGAAGCTGCCGACTTGGATGTCGGTGTTCACCTTGAGCGCGGGATTGATCTTCTGCTGCTGCTTGAATGCTCCCAAGAGCGCTCTCTCCAGATCCTCCTGGTAAAGCAAAACACAGTTTTTGTCGGTCCAGCAACAGCGAAAGGAGTTTTTGATACCTTGGAGAAGAATATCGGACAGAAGCGTCGGTTCTTGCTCCGGAGGACGAGGTTATCCGACTGCCATGGAAACATTTAGCGAGATTCAAAACCTCCTCTTCTCTGTTTCTCCACACACCTGAAAGACTGGCACGCCATCGAAAGCTTTCCCGGGATCGCCAGCCTTTGCTCTCGACTGCGACACGCACAAACAGAAAAGTCCAGTCCACCACTTGGGAAACAGAAGTAAGAAAAAAAAGAGGGGATTTTTCTGACCTCAAGAGCATGCTTGACTTGGAGAGGATCCGGCAAGAACCTGAAAGCGATGCCTTCCGTCTTGAGCTGGTAGACCTGATGATGATCCAGAGCCAAAGAAAGTAAAGGCAAAAGCAAAGAAGCTCTCAGTACATACAAAGTAAGAAAAGAAAGCTCGCACCTTGTCGAGAGAGACAGCTACAATCTTCGCTCCACGGCCCAGGCCAGGCTCTCTATCTCGGATCTGCCAAGCTACAAAAGTTTGAGAACGTCAACCTAGAAGAAGAAGAAGAAGAGGAAGAAGAAGAGGAAGAGATAAATCGAGCGATGGATGGACTCATACCTGTGCTAGCAGCGCCTCGGCGTCCTCGTGGCGGAAGCAAAACAAGCCCAGAGATTTGTGGCCATTGGAGTCGGAGATGAGGACAAATTCGTTGTCGTGGTTGCTCACCGTGTAGACGGGGACGCCGTCGAGGCGCTTGGAGACCTGGTCGGGCGCCATCGCGAGGTCGAAGAGATGGCGCCCCGGCGCCTCCGCCCCAAATGCCGCTGCGCCGCGCGACAGGCACGCGAACGACGCCGCCGCGGCCACATTTCGGGGCGGCGCCGCCAAGACTTCCAGCCCCTGCCTGATCTTGCGCTCCACGGCCTGAATCACTTGGACGGGGAAGGGCGGCGCGGTGTAGCCCGCGCGAGCGAGGCGGCGCTGGAAGCGCGAGAGGAGACTGGCCAGCGGCGACTGCTCGCCTCCAGCGCTCGCCGCGGCGGCTCCCTCCACCATCTTTGCCAAGAGCCCTAAACCTCAAACAGTCAAAACATAATTAAAAGATAACGGGAAACTTTAAAGATTTGATCTTTTCAAATTCCAACCAAAGATTGATCAATCCACTTGATTGATTTCACTCCTAGCTCGGAGGCTATGCTGAGAATAGATGGGATACGACAAGATCTTCAATGAGAGATTATACTTGAAAAAATCTTTGGTATCCACATCCAAACTTTTGCTCAAAAGCTTCTTTAGAGAGCTCTAGCTATCAGAAATATCTGGCTCGTGATCCTGCGCTGCTGTAACCATGGAGCTGCGGCTTTCCTGCTTGGAATCTTTGGACGTGAAGGACGAGCTCGCCGCCGCCGCTGCTGCTGCCACCGCCGCTACCGCCGCCGCCTGGTTTTCGTGCTGCCGCTGTGTCTCATCGTTCTCGCCGCTTTGCAATTGCCGGCCTCCATTCAAGGCCCGGCAGTGTGGGCAAATGTACGTCACGTACTGGAACTCTTCTTTCGGAGCTAGTCCTGCAATGCAAAAGGGAAAAGAAGAAAAGAAGTTGTAAGCTCTCAGCCTTTGAGGATGTAAAGTTCTCACCGTTGTGCATATGGCAGTTCTTGCAGATGAGAGCGTAGCACTGGGAAGGATCCTCTCCAACAAGCATGGCTGCGATGCGGGCCAGCCAGCCTATTCCTCCTCCTCCTCCTCCTGCTGCTGCTGCTGCTGCGAAGCCACCACCCATCCGACCTCTAGCCCGATCCATGGCGGCGTCGCGGTCCAGAGCCTCCGTTTCCCTCTCTCCCTTCACTTCGTCCTCAAGAGCCTTGAGAAATCCTTGAGTGTCGAGGGGCTCTTTGGTTTGAGCCTGTGATCCTTTGCGCTGCCTCAAACCGGAGCTGGTTTCGGGGCTGCGGGTTTTCCCACCGTTCGCTGAAGTAGTGGCGTTCGAACTGTCAGCGCCTTCTGACGATTTGAACGCCACATTCAAGCCCGATTCGGCTCCGAGCTTGGCCGCCAGAACGCTTGCGGCAGCCGCCTTGGCCGTGGGATCTAGATCATATCTCTGGAAACGCACGATGCAAAGCTTACAAAAACGAAACGAAAAGAAAACTCACTTGGATAAGCTCTTGAGTAGCATAGTAATTCGTTCTCTGTTTCAGCTCGTCTATCCTCGCCTGCCTTTCAGCCCGCAGTTTCTCTAGAGTTCGCTGATCCTTACGCTCTCCTGGAAATGAAAGAAGAAAGAGAAACGTCAGGACGTACTAGCGCATTGAAAGTTCTTACTCATATGGAAGTAGCGCGAGCATGCTGTGTATAGCAGAGCCGCTATAGCAGGGACTGCGAAAACTGGGAACACTCTAATAGCTCTCAGCTTCCAAGGAATGTCAAGCGACCGGGTGGAAACCAATGCAAATCCTAGCGCTAGAACCTGTGTTCCAGAAACCAGAAAAAAAAACTTAAATCTCGATTCTAGGAAAGAAGGAAACAAAAAGGAAAGCAAGACCGCAAGGCACAAAAAATTTCCCTTACCTCGATGAGCACCGAGTAAAGAACTATAGCTCGCGCGACCCTTCTCCACGTATGCGTCCTCCTCTTCAAGCGGCTGTGCACAGTGACCTCCTCCTTGGACAGATGCCGCAGCCTCTTCTCAAAATCAATGTTCCTGCGGCCAAACAAGATCCCCACAAGGCCGCTCCAGATCCACCGCAGCGTGCCTCCTCTGCCGGCGCCAGAGCCTCCCGATCCCTGGGAGCTGCTCGACGGCACAGAATCTTTCAATCCGTCGGCTTCAGCTGGAGATTCGGCCATTCTCGCTGGATCGAGCTCTGCCGATGTGAGATCGGTGAGAACCAGCCTCTGGATCGGCTCCAGCCCCTGCATTACCCTTGCGCCACGCCGAAGCGATCGATCCACTGCCTTGCCCTAAACATCTCAAAAATAGAAAAGAGTAAAATACCCTTTCTCATAAAAGGTGATTAGTCCGCATAAACGTGATTAGTAGCTAAGCTGAGCGTCACTTCTTCCTCGTCGTCACACATCGCGCTGGGCTTTTCTTCCACAGCGATAGATCTTGGAGCAGCCACACCAGCGCTTCGCCACGCTAAATTTCCCGGAGATTCTACTCGTGTCGAGACATCCTCTTTCTCGGTCGTATTCGCGCGATCCTGCAATAAAAAAAAGAAAAAACGATTTTTCCTGGTCCTATCCAGAACAGCGCTACGTGAAAGCGAGAAAGACTTACGCGGCTGAAAAGAACACCGCGGAGAACTTGGCCGTTTAGATGAGTAGTCATAAGGTAGCCTGAATCGAACATAGCGTCCACAACTCCATGCACTTCGCTTCCAATCTGTGCGTACACAAGATAAAACAAAACAAGGATAAAAAGAGATTCAAACTCCGAGCTCAGAAACTTTTCGCTTGCCTGAATGCCGTACCACTGAGCGTCATGATTGGTCCCCAGCTTTAAAGTTAGAGATTTATGTCTGTTGTGTGAGCAACCATGATTTGGAGCTTGCCACTTTCCTGAAACTGTGGATTCGACAACGGACCAGTCGTCGTTCTCACGGAATACTAATAAGTCGCGTGACGTCCGCTTCTTGTGCACTGTAAAACCACAAATCAGAACCGGACGAGAAGAATTCACGATGGAGTGAAGTACTTTGAAATGTTCTTTCCGCTGCATAGCCTTGAAGAACGCCTTTCATGAGCAGATTCTCGCTGCACAACACACGGCGAGTCGCCTGAAAGGACAAATTGAGAAAAGAGTGAAGTTCCATTCAATCATTCAGCCTACCAAGTCGTCCTTCCGAGAGGAAACTGAAGGCCGCGAAGAAGTCTTCTGTCCAACTATCTGCATTCTCTGCTCGTTATTAAGCTTTGACCAAATACCGGGCTTAGGCAGCTCCTCTCCACCAATACACAGGACGAGGAACTCGTCTAGAGGTCTCTCGTCTTCGCCACATCTGCAAACTCTGGTCAGAGAAAACGTAGTTTGGAGACTTTTGCATCTCACCCCCCATAAACAATTACGCCGTCATCAGCACGAGCTGCGACATGAGAGAATCGACCCTGTGGCTGCAAGCTTCGAATTTTCAGTTGAGACCAGCAACGCGTTTCAACGTCCATGGCCCACACATCGCTGTAGTACGTCCGGTCGCCAACACCTCCAAAAACATACATCTGAGAGCTTTCAGTTGTGAGATTCTTCGAAAGATTTCAAGGACTTCCACCTTTGTGTCGACTGCTATTGCAACGTGACCAGCTCTCACTCCCGGCTTCGTTGTTGACCCGGCATTCTCTAGCTGAAAAGGAAAAAAGAGTTTGAGCTATGAGACTAGACTTTGTAAGTAAAAAGCTTACCTTGGACCATGTCATGAGCTCCAAGTCAAGCACATCCACATCTCCCAAGTACCGATCTCCACAGTCACCTCCATATAGAAAAAGCCGATTCTTGATGACGACCGAGCTATGGCTGTCCCGACAAATTGGCGAGTAGCCCTTCCCGCACAGCGAAATCCATTTCATACTCCCGCAATCCAGGATGTGAGTGTCGCTCAAATAATCTCCGTTGTCACCACTTCCACCAAAAACCAAGGCCTGATTCTCACTAATCATAGTTGCCGTGTGACTTTCTCTTGGAGCAGGAAGAGAGCCTTGCATAGATGGCCGAGCCCAGACCAAAGACTTTAGATCAAGTACGTGAACAGCGTTAGTTTTCTTTGATCCACTTGTACCCCCAAAAACTATCATTTTTTGGTGATCGTAAAGCACGGCAGTGTGACTGTCCCGGGGACCAGGCTCTTCGCCCGTTGTGACAAGATTCTCCCAAGACATCGTCTCCAGATCCAGCATCAAGACATCACTGAACTGGAGACCACCACGGCATCCCTGTAAACTTAGACATTAGTTCCAGTAGTAAGCGAGAGAAGAACTCCCTTACCCCGTAGATGTAGAGCTTCCCATCGCAGTAGACTCCAGAATGGCCCCATCTCTCTGGCAGGTTTTGATCCGCAAGCTTGGGATGAAACCAAGAAGCCTCGCTTCTCGTTGTTGTTGCTTCCATCGCTGCTGCTCAAAAACTATATCGCTCTTACCCAAACCACCTGGAACCAACGCGAAAAGAGGATTTGAAGAAACTTTGAAAGTAGTACGCGTATGCTTACGTGAGGCTGAGCTCAATTCTAGACCTGAAGCTCATGTGGCCATGCCAGAAGCAGGAAAATGCCAATAACTCGGGAGAACTGAGCCAAACGGCCCTCCCGAAACAAATGTCTAGTTTATTGCCTACACGAAGCCCAACAAAAGCGAGGAGTGGATCGAGGCTATAGAAAATGCGTTCTACACGGAGAAAGAGGGAAAAGAAGCGAGTAAAGTGTGCGATGCGCTTACCAGCGGCGCCCTGATCCATCCAGCTGCATTCACCAGCGCAGGACCAGCGCCAGCAGCGGCGCCGCTCCCAATGCCGCCATCGCTTCGCCATGGCTTCCTCGATCGCCCAGAGATCTTTAGGGCAGCCAAAATGACCTAGAAATCTGGCGCCTAATTTAAAAACTCTTAATGATTTAAAATTTCGGTCGTTACAAAAGCAAGAATAAATTACATGGAAATCACTGGCTTGATCGATGATCTATCGAGCTTCTCAGTGGTTTGCTTTCGCGCGAGAGAAGAATTTTCCCAATCCCAGGACGCCGCCGCCGTGCTTCTCGGAAGAATGCGAGCACATATCCGCCGATTTGGACAGCTCCCCGTGGTTGCCATAGCTCTTGGTGGCGGCCGCGGCGGCGGCGGCCTTGCACTTGCGGTAGTATCTCGCGGGAGTCCTCACCTCTAGAGGGATCTCCTCCGGCGCCTGGGGTGCCGAGTAAGAGATCATCCCCGGCTGGTGGCGCGCGGCGAATCCAGGCGTCCCCTCGGAGCTCCAGTACGTCTCCTGCTTGTGGATGTAGTCCGAGCTCTCCATGGTGGCGCTCGGGAGCTCCGACACCCGGGAGAAGTGCCTGGCCGGAGTCGTGTGCGAGGAGCTCGGTGGCAGGCCCAGCGATTCCAGCTGCTTCCCCAGCGCGTGAATTGTCCTCTGGCATTCCGCTAGCTTCTCTCCGGCAGCGATCAGCTCTTGTTCCTGTGGCAAGCGATTATAAAAAACAAAGACTAAGAAAACCAAAGCGTTACCTTTTGTATTGTGATGCTTTCATCGTGTCTGGAAAGTTGGGAAGCATGATGTTAGAAGAATGATATACAAGTCGTGGAAAGACTAACCTTGGGATTTGCTGGAGCATTTGCAGCTTGAGAGCGACCTCCTGGTGCCTCCGCTGCTCCTCTTTCAGCTCCGCTGCCAAGCGAGCGCTCTCCTGGCGGACCTGACGTATCTCGGTATCTGCCATGTTCACCCTCGACTCCAGCTTGTTTTTCAGAGCCGTCACCGCGCCAACCTCGCTCTGAAGTATTTTTCTTTCGTCCTGCGTGGCCGCCAGCTGCTTTTGCAGAAGGCATCGCTCTTCATCTACAGTTGCAAGATGAATCTTCAGGCTCTTGACCGTGTCTGTCGAAGACTTGAGACTGCTCTCTAGCTCCGCGAGCTCGGACCGCAGGTGATGGATTTCCTGCACGTAGTCGGTCGCCGACCTTCGGCTCTGCTCGGACGAGCTTGGAGACTCCAGCCTTCCCCCGGCATTGAAGCTCATTCCCACGACGAAGTCGAGTGCGCACGAAAGCTCGGCAATAAAGTCCAAGACCGGAACCTCGCCTTGCAGTAAGTTCTTGCTGACAGCGACGAGCCGTTTCACGCCGCCATCACTGCCATGAGATGACAGTTCCGGCGAGGAAAGCGTTGAAGTTTCTTGCGCCATCGATTCGACCAGATGAATTATTCTGCCAACGGAGGATCTTAGCCTGGCCTTGGACTCCGCGTCGATGGTGTCCGAGAGCTTGTCTTTGCAGCTCTTGAGCCCGAACATAAGGTCCACCGTCTCCTGGATTTTCCCAAGCGAGCCATCCGTTGCACTTCGACAGTGGCAACCCTTTAGCTTCTTCTCCACCGCGGCCAGCTTGTTCCGTAACTCCGCACAGACATCGTTTGCCTGACGAACCTCTTTTTCCTTCGCTCGGAGTGCTGCTTCGAGTCTGCCAGAGTCCCGTTTCACGTTTTCTTTGTCGTTGGCTGCCAGCCGCTCCATCTCAATAAAGTCTTCCATAAGGTCAAAGTTGGTCGACTCCAATAACTTATCCGTGCCCCCGGCTGCCTCGTCTGGCTTTGCCCGCTTGAGAACACGAACTTGGTCCTCCAACTGCGAGAGCTTGCTTGCCGTCTTAACACACTGTAGCCTCGAATCCTGGAGCTCCTCGTTCTTCTTGGCGAGAATTTCTTTCAGCAACGACGTCTCTTCTTCCATGGCCCGCAACCTGTCCAAGGACATGTCGTTCTCTTTATCGTCCAAGCTGCTTTCGTCCGCTGGCTCCGAGCAATACTTTCCGGGCTTTGCGATGCCTTTTCTCCTGCTTTCGCCAGGATCCGCCTCTACACGCATTTGTGCCAGGGCCCCCGGACCAGGAAGTTTCTTTTTCAGCAGCATACGCAGCCTTTGACATTCGGCTTCCAGCCTACTCGTCTTCTTCACGTTTTCGATCTGTTGCCGGTTGGAAGCCTCCATCATCTTCTGGCTGTATTCTCTCTCCTCGTTGCGAATTTCCAGCTCCCTCTGGAGTACTTGGAGGTCATACTTTAGAGCCGCGTACTCCTTCTCGACGCTCTCGAGCCTGGCACGGGTGCTACGGGCATCCATCTCCGCTGCGACTTTGCAATCGTTCAGCTCCAAGATCGTCATTGTCCGCTCTTGGAGGGATTTCGAGACGGCGTTGGCATGAGATCCTGATTGTGACAATTGGCTCCTCAACTCCAACAATTCGCCCTCAAGCCCCGAACGCAAGCTCTCCCATTCCCTCGTTTTCCTGGCAATTGTCTCGTGCAACCTCTCTTCCTGCTCTTCCCGGACGAGGCGGAGTTGCCGGACGCACTCCTTGAGAGCATTGTCCAGATGAGCGACTCTGTCCTCCAATGCCACCTTCTTTTGCAGGGCATCTTCGAGCTGCTTCTTCAGTGTCGCGGCCTCCAACTCTGATTTCTCCCATCCTGCGAATTGTGTGAGCTTTGAAAGAAAATTCGAAAGCTTCCACCAATTTATCTTACCGGTGACAGCTTCCTCGGCCACTTTCATGTGTTGCTTTGCAACGGCATCTTTCTCCGAGACTTCGCACTGGGCAGCTGCCAGCCTCTCGCTCAGCAATTTTACCACCTCATCGAGCTGCAATCCCTCGGGAATGGAAATCGCCACGGGCTCGGGCTGCACAAGCTTTGAACAATGCTGCCACAGAATCAAGAAAAAATCAGAAATTCAAGACAAGAAGAAAAACCAAAACGAATTGATCGTTCGAAAAAACTCACATTTTCGTCGTTCGATGGATCGCTTGCGTCGGGCGCCGCCGCGACCTTGTCCGACGACTTCTTCTTCCATAGCCAGCTCCGGCGTTCCATGACAAATCCCTCACCTTTCTATCAGACACAGAAAGGGCCAGATTCAACAGAAATAGAAAATTTTCGCATGCGAGCAGCAAAGCGACATACCAAGATTCCCGCACAGCGCGATTTCCGAGAGGAGCTGGGAGCTAGCGCAAATGCGGCCACTGCATTCTCCTACAAATCCAAGAAAGAGCTAAGAATCCAGGAAGCATCAATCGATCAGCAAATCCGGAGCGCGGTGAAGCATCCCTGAGCACGGCCCTCGAGGAAGAGAATCGCGGGAAGGCGAGGAGGCCATCGCCGCCACAGCCGGGAGCTCGCCGCCGCAGCGCTAACCTCCTCCGCCATGGCTAAACAAGCCTAACATCAATCCCCTAAAGCTTTTCAAAACAGAGCCCTTCCTTCTCCCGCCTTAACCGCGGTGATTCGAGACAAACTAGTTCTACAGTATTAACCGCCGTTACCTGCGGTGAATTCACGTCCGTACGAATGGCCACCATTTACCATGGGCCATGTGGTCGGTTGGTGGCCCAATTTGAAGAACTGGAAGATGGGCTGGAGGGATGCAAGCAATGGAATGCAGCACAGCCAAAAAGGTTGGCCAAATGGCAGCGAAAACGATGGCCATTTTTATGGGCTCGTATCAATCTGGAAATTTTGCCTGGTTGAGGATATGATTAATATCAAAGCCTTGGATCGATTCGTTTCCAGAAATGCGCTACAGCCAGGGAGGGCCACCATATCTTTTTGTTTTCCTTGGTACAGTGGCACATGCAAACGTGAATAAGGGCGAAAGGTACCTTGAATAAATATTAGAAACCTTGTACCACGAGGAGGAAAAGAAAAAGAAAGAACATGGAATTATGATGAAAATGCCAACCCTTCATTGCCCCGCCACCTTTTGGGGGTTAGAAGGTCACTTTGGGGCTCCTTAAAGGTGGTGTGCTGGATGGAAGGAGCAAATTGTAGCAGACATGCATGTATGCGTCCAAAAAGCCCAGGAACTTAAAACGAATATCCCTCTCCCTTTTGCGAGTAGGGATTGAGAGAGCTCTGTGCGTTCGTCGCTGTTTAACCCCCATTTTGTCAGGATGCATTCTAGCCTGGATTTCTTCCTTTTCTTTTCATTCCAGCCGGGATTTCACGGAGAAACTAACAAGAATCCAGTGGATATGTCCACTCAATTTCAAGTACGCGCGCATGCGTAGAATTATACAAACGCTTTGATCGTGAATCATCCCCACCAAACGAGCATGTGATCCTAGAGCGCAGGGGAATCATTCGAAATGCATTCAATCATAGAAACGTTGGTTAGCTGGATGCCAGCAAACTAATCAGTCGGCCAACGGGATTAATTTGCTAGCATAATTATGGCACTTAAATCTTAACTACCACATGGAATGCATGGCAGCGGCCAGCCTGAAAGAACGCTGTGCTTGTAAGGCTGAGCGTCTCTTTTCTTGTTACCTAGCATGTGGAAGATGGTACCCAGCTTTTTGGATGGACCACTAGTACTATTAGCCCCAAGGAGCCCTAGGTTGGCTAACTGCATTAATTGTTGTTGTGGTTTGCATTGTGCATGTGTTTGCAAGAGGAAGGGCAACAAGGAAGTTAAACTTAGAAAGATAGAATTACCAACTCCAAAACTGGGGAGAAATTGAAAGAGAATATACTGTAATTATAGGAGAATAATAAATTAATTAATATTATAAAATATTTACTATCAATATTTAAAAGTTTCTCAATGTATATGTAATTTACTAAATACTAATAGTTTAAACCCTTCTTTACATATAAGAATGGATGGATCAAACTCAATTCCAAATAAACAGTTTATATGCTATAGAACTATAATTATTATATTATCTAGATAGGGTAATATATGTATGTATTTACAAACCTTCCCTCTAGAAGATGAAAAAGTGATAACAATAAATCATGTGAAATATTTGGAGCTTCTGTTGGGT